TTATGCCACACCACTCTGTATAAAGTGTGATAAGTCCATTAACAGCTTTTGCTACGGATTTAACCAGCATTAATACATTCCATGAGTAACAGTGTTGGACGGGCATATATATACTGTACAGTGCAGCTCGCACAAGGACTTAATTGTTCTCTACTCCGTCTGTTGGCATGCTTAGTTCTATTTTTTGTCGGGCCTGAAATAGTATGAAACACAAACTGATGCTTATTATGTGTTCTCGTTAAAGGTGCTAAATCATTGTTGCTAAAAGGCATCTGTCCTCGTGGTCTTTCATATAACCAGTGTTTCATCAGATGTTAAGCATTTGCAGCATTGTTTTTTGTTTGCTCTGTTCATTGGTGCAAATGATAAAAAATTACAGTTTGGGTGGGTTAATACAGACCGTTGATCATGATATAGAAGTCCCTGTGAGATTGATTAATGACTGGTTATATTACAAGACCAACACATGTATTTTAAAGTCAGCGTCTCTCTGGGAAGTCTTGACCTCGGTGCCAAACCTCATGCGCTCCTGGTGAAGTCATGCAGTGTCATGGCTGCCGCAGCACCAGCTCAGGGGCCACCATGGTTGAATTCCTGCATCTGTTATGTGTCTGTGGTCAGCTGGTCGGACCACAGCTTGTTATGTAACAGGACAGAGATGGTTACTGCAGCCTGGCAGGGCAGGGACAGCTATAGGCAGGTCGTGACACAGGGTGCGCTAACCGGTATTCATGGCCACATCATTTTTTGACTTTTACAGACTTAACAATTAATCGAGTATTGAGAAAATAGCACACCCAAACATGTAAAGGTAGTGCAGGGAAGTTGACAGATGATGCCCAGAGAGCTCCAATTTATCTGTCCTGCATAGACTTCAAACAGTGTGTCTTTAGGGCCTGTTGATAGACATGGCCTTATCTATAGGAGACACTGGGGACCCAAGAACAATAAGGTTGTTATTTTTTTTAGGATAATATTTTTCCATAATGATGGATTCACTGAGACTTTCCCCACCTTTGAACAGGAAGTGGGTCGTTTGCTATTGTGTGTTTTTCCTGTGGTGTTTGTCCTCAGCTTCCTGCCGGGCCATCTCTTCTTACTCACTTTCTATTTTGTCTCCTTTCATACATTCCTCACCTCGGCCCTCTTTTGTCACTGTGGCCCCCCTGTTGTTGTTGGTGGTATCACACATTTGCTCTTGATGAGGTAGTGTTTTGTTTCAGTTGCTCTCGCTGTTTTTTATTTTGTAATTCAAATTTGAACGTATACAATCCAGGTAGAACTTTTTCTGCAAGTTTATCGTTATCATGGCAGACACATAGTTTGCTGCATAACTTTTTATGCCACATATAAAGAAGCAAATGACGTGGCACTTTGACAGCGTTCAGTTTAGTACCCAGTTCCCATAGTCCAATTGCCTCTATCGTTATCCTTTTCATAATCACTCCACATCTGACTTTGACCCAGATCAGTATGTTCTCAAATTTTAATACACATTCCAAAGACTGAAAACGATATGCTGCAGTAATGATGAATTTGCACGCCCCATTTTTAGACCAAACACACTCAAATAAAACTCCCTTTGCCCGCAGCCTTGTACTATTCCAGTGCAGAGGAATTCCTACAGTATCCAGTTAAACTCGCCATGACTAGATCATATTGCAGCCCCCCGGGGGGTCCTTAATACAAAAGTAATTGTCTTCTCAGAAGCCACTTGAAAGTAATAAGAAGTGTATCATTCACAGAGGCCTGTGTTCAGTTTGAGAGCTCAGCTCTGCCACGCATGATGCAGTTCCTGGTTAATGGTTGACCGGGGAGGATACAGAATGCTTCACTGTTTGTTTTTTATGGAATATTTATAATGCACTCTTGTTGACCTTGCTGCATTTTGTGTGCATGGGTGTGTGTGTCATTATGAAAGCATTGATTGTGTAAGTAAAAGCGACAGATGACAGGGCTGTTGGTGATTTGTGTAAAGCAAGTGTTGTTGTCCCAACTACACGTGTATGCACTCAGTAGACCTCTCAGTTTGTGGTCAGCTTATGGTGAAAACATCATGAAATCAAATGGATTGAATGTTAATATTGTCAAGTAAGTATTTAGGCCAGATCAAGGCAGGAATGCCGAGCTTATTAGAGTGTGACAGCTTGTGTCGGTCAGCTAGAGATTTTAGACACTGGTGTGAGCACTGCCCAGCAACACACAGCCATAGTTTCTCTCCCCTGCACACACATAGACGTGCTGAATCTCTGTCTTTTTTTTTTTTTTTGGGTGTTTGACACACATACACAAGTAATTGCACTGCAGGCGGTGGTGATTACAGTACATGGCAACACAGCTTTCCCTTTCCTGCTAATAGATGATGTGCTCTGTCAGTGATCACCACTCGACCACTTCCACCTTTTCAAAAACGGCTTCCTCTCTGATTATGTTTGATCGGGGACAATGGGAGTGATGTTTTTCATTTGAATCCAGAAGTGATGTCATTGTCCAGCATTTGCGCATTTGTGATGCCTCCTTTATCCATGTTATTACCACAGATTTTAAAAGATTTTAAGACACCAGGTAAAGATTTGGGATACGTTTCTAGTGGCTTTTTAAATCTCCTCAGCCTGCCATGGAGTTAAGGGCACCTCAGTGGTATTTAATGGAGGGTCAAGCCCCACATACACTGTACATTGTGGTTAAGTAAAGAATATAATGGTTCACGTTTTTATGAAGGCCTGCATGGGAGCCAAAAGGTCAGTGGAACGATTTTAATCCTACACAGCAAGTAGCTTAAGTCATTAATGCCTTAAGGAAGAGTGGTGCCTCTTGACTAAGATCTACTGTATGTGCATAGTTTTGTTTTTGTTGACCTTTTATTCAAGCGCCTGTCCTCAAAGCTTCAGACCAGTTTTGTCTGTTCTGTCCTATGGGAAGAAGAGTCCACTTTGTGTTACAGTTAAAAGTTTTCCTGTGTTTGCTCCCATGGTGCATTGTGCTCGTTGCGACAAGGCAGGCAAGGCAAGTTTATTTATATAGCACATTTCAGCAACAGGACATTCAGGGAGCTTTCCACAAAACATCAAAAGCATCAAGAGGAAGTGTATCAGAAACACATTATAAAAAGGCATTTAAATACAGTTAAAAACAGTCATTAGAGAGCCAAGAGAAAATAAAATAAAAACAAGCTACAATAGAATAAGTCAGGTATAAAATAGAAGAATAAAAGTTACAGTGAGGTGCAAGAAATGAGTATTTAATGTAATAAAGGGCAGTGTCAAACAGAAAAGCATTCAGCCTTCAGCAATTGCTGTGACTTTATTCTAGATATATGGTGCATACAAACTCAAGAGTCAGTTCAATTTAGCAAAGAGTGTAAGAATACAAAAAATTAGTTGTTTCTGAATTAAGTCAAACAGATCAAAGTCTTGTTTCACAGATGACTGCTCCTGATTGACAGTGCAAACACTAGTATTTTGAGGTGCAATCCATTTAGCTCCTCAGTCAGAGGTCCGTCAACCCATCATCATCTTTATCAACAGACTTAACAGGGCCAGCGAGGCTAATAAGCTTATTGCTTTTGGCTTGCTAGTTGCTTGGCCGGCTACCATGGCATCAGCCACTATAGTCCCTGAATTTCCTGCTTGTCTCCTGTATCTCCTTCTCTTCCCTGTTTGTTCACCTTTCATTATTGTGGTTCTGCTGCATTTTTTGTATCATCCCGTACTTCCTGTGTCTGTATTCTCTATTTCTCCGTCTGTTTCTGCCTTTTGCTTCTCTCCTTCTTCTGCCTGGTGGTGCAGTCTCGTGGCTGCATGGTGAAGGTCACGCTGGAACACATAATCACCAATGAAAGACAAAAAAAAAAAAAAAAATCCGAAAGAATTTAACACCCCCCTCCCATCCTTCATTCCTCCCTCTCTCCATCAGCCTCACCCCATGTGCTTTCTTTCACTTACTCATTCATTTCATAAATCCAATCAGTGTCCTTGCCTGACACCTCCCCTGACCTCGTTAGATTTTTGTCAAAACATATGGTCTTAAAATTCTTACGCTTCTTAGTTCACACTCTCTCCTTCCCCTCACCATGATATAGTACTTAGCTCAGTGGTCATGAGCTTATCCTTGTTTACACGTCTCTATTTAACGTTGACCCCCTGTTGGAGCGCTCCGTAATCACGTGTGGAAAATGACTCCATAAATCCTGTACATCATTTTATCAGCCTGCTGGCCACAAAGTGCTCAGGTTGCATTCATTTTAAAGTATTTACACAGACATTAATACTTGAATAACATTAAAAAAGTCTTATTTAAATTTGTCCAACACAAAGAAAAGTCTTGTCATCAGGTGGAGTCAGCGACATAGTGATGACACTTTTTGCAACCACTTCGTCTGACACTGTGCTTGTAACAAAAACTCCACTGAGCATGAACAGTGCCAGCCACCACGGAAAACAATAGCGAGGGCAACAAGGGTCTTTGACTGACGCTAGATGATCACACAGGAGTTTTGAAAGCTGGTGGTGTCATTGAGAGCGAGTTTGACCCATGCGAAAGACACATCAGTGTCAAATAGTGTATTTAAATGCTTAGTTTCTAAAATAAATTACAGTAATGAAGGCCTTTTTATGTCTTACTGTAGAGGTGGTTGCTAGAGGTTTCTGCAGGTGGTTGTTGCTGTGTAACTTCTTTATAACAGGGCTTTGAAGGGGTTTTAAGTAATAAAGGAGAATACGGGGAAATACGAGAGAAGTGAAAATGAGGGTGATGGTAGGGGATACTTGGTCTTTTTTTTGGGGTGGAGGCTGGGAGGTCACCCATACACCCACCAACCCCACCACCACTACCCCCTCCCCTCCTCTGTCCTCCCTCCTGCCTTGGCTAGTCTCCATGTGCCGGGCTCAGGGCCTTGGGAATGAATGGCGCCCGGCCTCTGCTCCGTCTTTGAAGCCAGCCAGGAATGCGAGGCCTCTTTTTTTTTTTTTTTCTCCTCCTCTCTCCCCTCTCTCTCTGTTGTTCAGGCGGCCGGCAGCACTAGCAGCTATCTGCGGCAGTGAAATATTCCCTCCGCTGCGCTCATTGTGCTCTGGAGAGCCGGACGTCATCGGCTGGCCAATCAGTGGCTCCCGCTAGGCAGCCTCGGGTCTTGGTGGGGGGAGAAGAGACTCGCTAGAAGTCTTCCCTCTAATATCTAGCTCTCCTGGTTACTTGGTCTGGTCCCTCTTTTAGAAGAAGAAAGATGTTGTGAAAGAGAAACAAGGACGGAAATCATTCAGCAAAGCCTTACTTAAATTGAAACTTAGGGAACTTATTGCTTTTGCAGATGGAAATCAGGAAAGTCAGCAACTTAGACTCAAAGTTTGGGTGAGTTTTTCCACTTCTTTCTTGCTAACAGTGCTCTCTAAACTTTACAAACTCTCATTCACACCAGTTTACAAGTGGTTGATCTCTGAGTAGCTCCCAGTCTGCCTTGTTGCTGTGACTGTTGATCCAGCTAGTGTTCAGCTTTCCTGCTGTCATTGTTCACTTCTCTTGTCTCTTGTTGTTGTGGTTTGCGTGTGAGGGTATTTGTCTGGGCCGGTCACCCTCTGCCTCACCCCCCCTCCCTCCCTCTTTCCTCTCTGTACATTTTGTCACTGCCTGTCCCCTCCATCACTTCCACTTGAGCGCTCCCCTGTTAGGGAGCCTCTCTGTGTTCGCAGAGGGAAGAGGAGGGCTGGAAACCACACACACACTCACACTCACACACACACACCACAGATCAGAAGGCCCTTCATAAACACATGGAATCCCCCTTAATACTGTAGTCTGAAAGGCTCTTGGGAGGTGGGTTTTGTGTGTATGCAAAACGACCACCTAGGATCATTTCTGATTCAGGTTTTTCAGCTCGGCCAGCAAACATGGCAATACTGGGAAAATGTTGCTCTTTAGAATTAGTTATAAAGGAGTTTTCGGTTGGCGGTCTAAATTACTAAGTGGTCATTTGCCTCAGGATTTTAATATTTATTTGTTGGTTGGGATAACCCAACATTTCGTGCACTTCCATCAGTGCTGAGGCCAATCTTCCATGCTGCCAGAGTTAATTAGCAGGTTGGCTTGTTTTTGTTTCAGTAACATTGACCTTTGTGTGCGCATGACAGGTATGTAGTTTCATCTTGATGACAAAGTCATGGAAAGGCATGCAGGTCATTGGACAGAGAACCCTACATTTACCCTGTCAAGAGAGTCCACCGTAAAACCAAAACCTATTATTAACTTGCAGGGGCTGGTTTCTGTACTGAAGAAGACTTTTTGGATAGCTGATGATGGCAGCAGGTTTGTGTGTGTTACAAAACTGTAGTTTTATCCCTGTAAGTTATTTAATTCTTAGACTGACCTGTTGGTTGAAATATCTTACCTGTGTCTCAGTTGGAAATAAATTGGGTTTACAGCAATTTGCAAAACACAGCAGCTTCTAGCACAGAATAATAGCCTGTAAAGGTTTTTTGAGGGTCTCAATCACAGCAATTTTAAGCAGTTATTTAGCAAAAAAAAATGCTTTAATGTCCTAAAAACAAAAAGGGGGAAAGGTAGAAAAGTCTTGACAGGTTGCAGTGCTGTATAACAAGGCATTATACATCCACCACATGACTAATCCTCCCAGATTTCTGTAGCTCCATATGGAATTCCTGAAATTTTTTCATCTGTGTGCTGCAACGTGCGCCGCCAACCTCAAGGCCCTTAATTAGAGGCCTTGCTGATGCAAAACAGCAGACAGGCTCCTTCAACAGGTGCTTAACTGTACTGACCTTCAAAACCAAGCCGCAGTAAACCATGTGAGCCGTGAAACATAAAAATGACTATAAAACATGTGCGTTGTACATAAAACATCATCTGAGAGAAAGTGATTTTGACACTTTTACAGACACGATTAATTGATAATAAAAATAAACGTTAGTTGCTTACTAATTTTGACTTTTGAATTTTATTGTCAAGGAGATATACCAAAAAAATGAAGAATAACATTGTTATAATAACAAACTTTACATAAATTAAAGATTTCTCCCTTGATGCTGCCAAGTACCAGCACCTCTACTCTGCTAGGTAGGCATAAACAGTTCTCTCCTGGGAAAACAAATTCAGTTGAGGAGGATATGATTTGTCTTTACAACTTATAACAGATGGAGCATAATTTCTCACCAGAGGAATTTGACCTAGAAATGCCAGGCGAAATTTTTCTTACAGTTTTCTGGCATCTTAATGGTGTTTTAGCAGAAAGCACACTGCAAAGAGTTGGTATATACTTGCAGGGTAGCTGATGGGGAAGTTTTTTTTCCATGCAACAGCTTAGAACAGGGTTTTTCTATGTAGCGGTGTAGCTGTGTGTGCCAGTAACCCAGTGGACATGCCAGGATGACAATCAGACACAAACATGTATGTTTGTGTGAAACTGCCACGCTGTTGCAAAGCAGTCGAAACTGCAGAGCAACTGGAATTTTTCAGTATCGGATAATTGCTGTGATTTTTTTCCAGTTGCTGTTTGAACTTTTATTTTGTCCAAACATTTCACCCTTGAGCAGTCATTTGCCACATACATAAGAGTATGAGTTTAGAGTCAAGATTTCAGGCTGGTAACCAGTTTTTACTCTGTGTTTTCTCCCGCAGGACCCACTGAGCAGACCCTTTAAAGAGGCTTTGAATAAACAAAAAAGGAGGCCTGAAAATGACCTAAATAGCGACAAGTGTGACCGACAACCTGGTGCAAATGTGTTGGTGGTAATTTCCCCAGTTTCACCCACAAGGAAGACACATGCATCAGCGCACATACACGTACGGCACATTAACAAACCCTGCCCTTCCCTTCCTGCCATCCGCCCCAGTCCTCCATGGATTCCTACAGCTTCCACTTTGAGAGAATGAGCAACGTGGACCTGCATCCTCTGAGCCTCCCTGTCAGCCGGCTCTCCCCAGCCAAGTCCAACAGCAGCATCGCCGACCAACTCGCCCACCATCAACACGGCAAAGGAGACTCTGCCTACAGCTCCTTCTCTGGTGGGTCCACTGCCCCAGATTACCCCTCTCCCTTTCTCCCAGACGACCTGCAGTCCAGCTCCTTCAGCCACTATGCTGATCTTCAGTATGTAAAGTCCATTTACCATCCAACACAGGTTCTGCAGTCTGACTCAAAGACCATGGACCAGCTCTATCGCTCTGTGGAAGCTATCTCAAAGCAGTATCGCAACAATACCAGCACCAATGGCAACCACCACAACCACAATGGAAACAACAGTTTTCATACCAACAACAACAAAGCACTCTCTAAACAAGAGGTGCCTTTAGGGGCACCATCCCAAGGTGCTTACCCTCCTGCCCGTCCTCCTCCAGTCCCAGCACGCCTGGATAGTTTCATAGCCACAAAAAACTTGGAAAACAGTAGGGTGCACCATCAAGGCACTGAGTTTAAACCTCAGCAGCCACAACCTCAGCAACAGCCCAGACCCAACAATCGACTCCATCCACAGCTCCAAAGTTCGAATGCCCCAAAATCTGAGACGGCTAAACCAGAGACAGGAAAATTGAACCTCAATTCTGACCTAGTGTACTCAGTTTGGAGAGGCTCTCAACAGCAACAGCCACAGGCCCAGCAGCCACCAAGCTACCGCCCCCACCTCCAGAACCATGATCAGACCAGGGTGCTGCTGAACCCAGAATACCTTTTCATCACAGATAACAAAGCTGTCTCTGAACAGCAGAAGTCAACAAACATCCTAAGCCGATCACCTCCCCGAGGCACAAACCAGCCTGAGCACCTGAAACCCAGACAGCTCTCCAGCAGTGGTGGGTGTAATGGAGACCATCACAACAAGCCCAGTGGTAGCAGTGGCCATTTTGAGGGTCAGCGCAAAAGGGCTCACTCAGCTAATGATTGGCTTGGTCCAGAGCCAGCCCGAGCTGCCAGTCCCTGGAACGCTGGTCAGAGTTTTATCAACAGCAGCATCCAGCATAAGGGTCAGTTCTACTTTGTCACAGGAGTGTGTAAGTCGTCTGAATCTGGTATGCGGACACACTCTGCATCTGTGTGTGGGTCTGAGGCAGGAAGTGAGAGCTCCACTGTGTTGGAGACACATCGGCTAAGAGAAAAAGAAAGATGCCACAGCACAATGGATAATTTGTTCAAACCCAGTGCTGTGACTCCAGATGAGAGCGAGGCTTTCACTTCCCAGAGCAAGGACTTGTCCCCCAGAATCCAGGATCAGGAGAATCACAGACTATCCTTCATCTCAACGCTGTCCTCTCGAAGCTTTGATGCTTTGGAGGAAATTGACATGCTGCAGAGTCGAGATATTGGCCGCCACACTGCCAACAACCCTATATTCTACTGTGGACCTGATAGAAACTGCCCACCACATTCAATCAAACAAACAAAGGAGGTCACCTCTCTGATAAACGATGACCAGCCCAACCACCACAAGAGAGAGGAGCAGGTGAAGAGAGGGAAACGGCAGCCCTTGGGGGATGTAGCCAGCGAGAGGATAAACAAAGAAACAACCCCACTTCTGTACCATCTCACCGGAGCCAGCAGGACAGTTTTGCAGCCTAAAAAAGATGCTGATTTCAGTATAAAAGGCAAGGAAACAATCCTAAACAAAGCAGGTCATGGAGACGTGGCTGTTAACGATAAGGAAAGACCTCCAAAAAGTGACACAGGCAAGAACGATAGAGGTGAAGTTATCTCTGTTGCCTGTAACACCCTGGATGACTCATTTAAAAAGTACTACAAAGAGAAGCTGAAGGACGCCCAGTCGAAAGTCCTAAGGGAGACGTCATTTAAAAGGAGAGACCTGCAGCTGTCATTGCCGCACCGTATCAGACCAAAACCTGAGCTGAGACCTGCAGTGTTTCACACTTTCACCCCATCACAGGACTCTGAGACTTCCACAGATACACTCACTCCCTCTGTGGCCTCTGAGGAGACAGAGAGGGGGAGCATCAAAGACGAAGTCAGGGAGAGTCAGGAGGAGATGGACAAAGAGACTGAGAAGGAAAACGGGAAACCCGCGAATGTGGCCCAGCCCCAGGTAGCACGCATCGGAGGCAGGAAGCGATTGACTCAAGAGCAGAAGAAGATGTGTTACTCTGAACCAGAGAAGCTTAACCAGATCGGCAATGCCCCCATCCACTCTTCATGCCGCTCCTTTGGCAACGAAAGTGACTGCCTGTTTGCAGCTGAATGCGAAGGAGAGGAACGCATGCAGCAAGGAGAACAAGGACTGGTTGCATCACGGAGGAAGATGTTTGAGACAAGAGGTAGAGCCCTTTCAGCTCCGAGCACCTCAAAGACGAACCTAAAACATCTGCAACACAAGGCCCTGATGGAGTACATGGAGCGTAAGACAGGACAGAAAGTGGCTGAGCCTCAGCAGCCGGCACCACAGTTACCAGCTCCATCCAGACAGAGGCATTCTCTGGGGGAGAAACCCTTCGACTGGGGTCCAAGGCCTCTATCAGGAAACAATGAAGGCAAAAACACCAGGAAGAAACTTCACAGACCCCACTCTGCAGGCCGCATCCTCGATTCCTCCTCCAGCTCCATCAGGTACGAAAGAGAAGCAGAGCCAGAGAGCAAGAAAATTTGTTAGATGCCTTTTTCTTTGCTGTTGTATGGATCAAATAATCTATATATTTCATGTTAATCTCACAAAACAGGTATGCCCAGTTCTTCTCAGCTCAGTCTTGTTCAGGCCAATATGCTGGCCAGTCGAATCAACCCAGATGGAGGGAGAGCCAGGGTCCATCTCAGGTGAAATCTGCATCAGTGGAGAGCCTGTTGGACCAACCAGAACCACCTAATTTCTTCAGGAGCAGATCCACATCCACACCACATGCGTTTCAGGTATGTTTGTTCAAATTTAGACACTTAGAAAAATAACACTTTAAGTCAGTGTCTGATGAGCTTTCAGTCACAAGTATGTGAAATTTACTTTTCAAAAATTATTTATTAACCCACGTCTGGCTTTACTGTCATATGTCACACTCATTGAAAAGACTTTGTTCTTGAATTCAGAAGAAATTAAGCGTGCACAGATTCAAGCGTAATTCCAGTATTTTCTTTTGTCTGTAGGCACTCGACTACGAGGAGGATCCATTACCAGTTAATACTATAGAAACCCAGAGGTATGTAACAGTACTGCACACAAATTGGGACATTTTTATTGGTTTTAGGTCAGGAGAGTATTAGGTCAGCGAGTGTACGCTGTGGCACAGACTATAAATCTCCACTTGATTCATAGTGGCACTGGAAAGGCAACACCCACCTGCTCCAGCAAACCAGCATTCCTTTCAAAAGATTTATGTGTGGGCTGTAAAAGAAGAATCATTGACTCAACCATTTTCAAGGAGTTGGCCTATTTCTTCAAACTGTATTGTGATTTGCCAGTCTTTGAAATGAAAATGCCCAGAGCCGTAACATGATGCATCTGTATTTGCCTTACAAAAATTGCATGTGAGATGCGATAGTTAAAAGTTGATTTAGTATTTTTTGTTTTCGTTTAAAGTTCTAATCATAGTGTGTATGAATCCATGGCTTATGTTACGCATTGAAACACTGGTTGTCAATGTCAGTCCCCAGATGAATGCCACTGAGGAGTCCTCAATAAAGCCGGCTCCTGAGGGCCAGCAGCGGGTCCGTGTGGTCGCACAGAGGGGAAAGTCCATGGAAGAGCTTGGGTCATCAAAGTTAACAAGACCATCGGCCCTGAGTAAAAGTTCTGAGCAGCTGGATCAACTGTGGAGGGATTCTCCTGGACCAGGAGGGCCAGACAGAGACAAGAGGAGTGTTTCATTTTTGGCCGAAGTCAGGGGATCCCAGGGGCAGGACCGAGGGAGGAAGAAACAAAATGTAACTGAGCAAGCAGGAAAAGAACCAGAGATTGTTGGTCAGAGGAACACTCAGGGACAGACGCAAAACCAAACCCAGAAAACACCTTTGAGGCAGAACTCAGAACCAGGAGAGGATGCAACATTAGGAACAAGGAGCTCAAGTAGATCCACTTCCCCGGCCTCCTGCTCCTCTTCGCGGGCCAGGGTTCACTCTGGATCTCACGGCCCAGTCGCAGATGAGTCCAGGTCCAGTAGACCACCCAGTGAGACTTCATCTGACCCATCTTCCCCCACATGTGTTGAGACCAGTGAGAGGGAGATCAAATCCACCTCATCCACCCCCACACAAACAAAGCTGTCTTGTGAAAACAGGCCTAGCTCCAGGTAAGATTAGACTATGTGGCAATGCAGCAATGATTTGACTAACTGAAAGTGCCGCTGTATTCCACAGTGTGCATTATCATCATTTGAATAAGTCGATATCTTATTGGATTGTTTTTTTGGATTCTGCAAATACTATTTTGGCCAGGTGTGATTCTTAACCATAATTTCTGTAACTCCCAGCAGAATCAGGACTTCTCCGTCCACGACTGGATCAGAGAGAGAGCAGTCGGTGGATGAACCAAGCAATGACGCCCCACAGCCTGATTCAAACCATGAAGTGTCTCTGAGCTGCGGCGTCACCACAGATCCATCACTGTGGATTCTCCCTCCAGAGGAAGAGATCAAAGAGGAAGTCCAGACTCTGCCTCTGACAGACAGCGTTTTTGACGACGAGTCCACCAGCCCGGCCCCTCCAGTGCAGACAAGTGAAGCCTCTGTGTCTCCCTGCACCTCCGTCTCTGACGCAGACATCAGTCAGCAGGTGGAGGAGCAGGAAAAGCCTAAAACGGAAGATGAGAAGTTGGGAGAAAACCAGGAGATGGAGGAGAGGGGAACACCAGAGGGAGAGACGGAGAGCCTGGAGAGGCCCGCTGAGAGACCTCAGTGGGAGGAGCTGGTAGAGGCGGTGGTCAAGACTGACCAGTCACTGGCCAGAGTGCTGTACCCGCTGGCCAATCGTAAGACGGCGCTGATGCTGATGGAGCAGCTGCTGTCTGAGGACACGCTGCTGATGGAGGAGCACTACAAGAAGAAACAGGAGCAGAAAGGAGCTACAGAAAGGTAAACATTAATGTCCTGGAACATAATACTTTGAGGTTAGTGTTAGTAGTTTGATTTTTTTTTGGCTAGTGTTCATAAATAAACTCCCTCCATTTTACGCGACTGAGACTTATTCTGAAATGATGAATATGACAGAAAAACACTGCGAAAAGTAAAATCCTTGACTTTACATCCTCTCAGGTGACTGTATTTATGTTGTATACATGCAGCTGTGTAGATTAAAATAATAATCCATTACATTTTAAAACCAGTTTAGAGTTGACATGGTGTTTAGAGCACCAAGTTAATTAGGATTCCTGGTTTAATGTTTCTCCATGAAACTTGACGCTCATTTCTAATGACCAAAGACCTGAGCTCCACCAGTGCTGTGTTACCTTTTGTTTCGTCACAAGCACAGACACACTGGGCTATCTGCTTACTGCTGTGCATGAACTCACATTTCTGCTTGTGTAAGCACACTTCAGATACACAGAGAATGTCCAGCTGCATTGCAGAGTTTTGTCATATGTAAAGTAGAATGTACTCCAAGAGAAGACACTGTATGTGGCACGTAAACAGGGTGTGAGAAAGCTAGCTTGACCTAAACACGTGTTTCTTTTTCTAGCGCTGAAACGGGGGAAAAGGCTGAATCATCTCCTCGTCCTCCTGCTCCTGACAGCCTTAAACCTCAGTGTGCAGACTCCCAGAGCAAAGCTGACATCACCGAGAAGAAGGTAATTATTACTTTATGCAAAACAGTGGATGTTTTTGTTCAAAGTGCCTCACAGCAAAATAGAACACAAAATACAGGAAGAAAATAAGACCTGTATGTAGCCAAATAATGTTAAACTTTACTGTTAACATCACATCTGTAAAACTGTCACAGCTTTGTTTGAAGTTTTACAATAAAATTTACAAGAAATCAGACAGGACTTTTGAACCCCACACTTTGAACTGTGGTCTCAAATCCTGTGGTGATTTCATATTGATGCCATCTGGTTGCTATTTTGCCTTAAGTGGACTCATTTCAGACTGAGATGGTTGTGCGTCTCTTATCACATGATGCACTGTCTGTCTCTTATCAGTGTCTCCCACTTGGCTAATGTTTGGCTTAGCAAATAGCCTCCCCCTCTTCCTGACTGCCTGCCACATTCACTCTTGATACAGTATGCCTTCATCCATGATCCTATGACAGTAAATATTTTAAGCATTTAAGTACATTAAAGTATTTTATCCACATATGTTGGCCATGTTTCTCCATGTAGATCTCTGTAGCACAAATCTCTAATCTTATGCTTGAATTAACAGCGCCTATTGGTGACTTACATCGAGGAGCGTCTGCACTCGCTGGAAGAGATGCGTGGTGCCCTCCAGACGGAGATTCAGGACAATGTGGCCCACGGAGAGGCCCTGGAGGCACTGGTCTGTGAGCGTTGTCTGCCCGTGGAGCTGGAGAGGTACAACCTGTTCATAGGAGACTTGGAGAGGGTGGTCAACCTGCTGCTGTGCCTCTCTGCCCGGCTGGCCAGGGTGCAGAACGCCCTGAGCACCGTGGACCAACACACAGATGCTGAGGAGAAGGTGAGGAACCAAAACTTTTTTTCAGGCCCTTTCTTCAAAGATCAGTGGGTTCGTAAATTAAGGTTTTGAGGTTCTGTAGTGGGGGATTTTCCTTTCAAGAGTCCTCCTATCATCCAGCCCACCTTTGTTTTTCAGTCATTTATGTGTGCAAGGAAAACAGTGTGCAAAAACGTTAAAGTTGCCCTGCATAAGCAATTCATTAATATATTTCCTTTTTTATTTGTCAAAGTTACATACTTGTCTGATAGTAATACTGCTTTGAAAACTCTCTTTTGCCTCCGAAATTGAGATTTACGTTGTTTTTTTTTCTTTTCAGCCGATTCTCAAATACATTTTATTAGTCACATCACACAAGTAATTAAAAGCATGGAGCCAAAGCATTTACATATGAATCTCTGTCCAAAACTGTGTGAATCAAATCAAAATGTGTCCATGTTGCTTGTTCCTGTGTCTTCCTCTCAGCAGAGCATTAATATTGTGAATGAATCTGATTTCTGGCATCAAAGGTCAACTGAACTGCTTAAATAAGACGTGATAAAAATCTACTGATGCACTGCAAAACACTGTCCTGCGCGGTGCTGTTTAAACTGTCCCATTTACACTCCTGTTCCCCCCCCTGAAGTTGTTTACACATACACACTAACACATGCTACTAAAAAGCATACTGTCCTTGTGCGCTCCCGGGGAATATTATGCTAATGTTGCCTTACGGATGTCATGATTCAGTGCAGCTCATGTAGAGCTCCTGGCGAAGACGAAGACCATGAGTGTTAGAAGTGCGCGGCTGCTCCCATACTCTCAGCCATACTCTCGTTCTGTTTGCTTTAGAACAGCAAACATAACACTTGGGAAAAGTTTAAGGGCGACTTTAAAGGAGTCAAGGTTTCTCTCTGAGTGGAATTCAGAAAATGTTGTTATCTGTGTTTAATTGCCCTATTTTAAGCTTATCGGTGTTGAGCCAAATGCTTTATCAGACAGTCGAAGATTATTTTTGATATAGTGCAGTTTAACAGGGCTGCACTTTTTCAGTTTGATACACTGAGAAATTACTTGAATTTCATCATGTTGCATCTGAGGTAGCTATCCTTCATTTAAAATGTGTTTACTCTGACATTTAGGTTTTTATTTCAGACATCATGAGTTGTGTCACAGGATCTCACTTTGAGTGCCTTTCTTTGTTTCCCCCCCTGAATATCCTGTTTCATTCCACCTCCCCAGTATTTACAGCATCACTTTATGTTTGCATGGATGCATTAGATTTCTAGATTTTTCCCTGAAAGGGCTCTTTGTCAGTTTGTGCATCTGTAAAAGGCCTGGCTGAATGTGCAGCATACTGAGGGCTTGTTAGAGGCTCATTTGTTTTCTTGCTGTTATCAGCAACACTGGTATTTACACTGACTCACCGAAACTCCAGCCCGGTTTCGATGACATTTGTATCTACCCTGCCCTCTGTTGACTTAAGGAAACACTGCACCTCCTGCCCTGTGGCTGTTTGAAACATAAGCATACAACTTTCACAGCTCTCGATTACATCAAACGACATATTACCTTTCAATTTAAACATGAAATATAACCTAAAATAAAACACTTGGAGTTAAAAAGTAAAGCTTTTGAACATGATTAATTTCAGATTTGTCCTCTCAAATTCTGTCTTTGTATGAGTATGCTTACAGCAGGATATTTACTTATGAATTTGATATTATGAGCATGGATCTGATGCTCCCCAAGACATTAATTGATTAATTGATTATTATTTTAATAAAAGACTGAACATGTCTTTGTCCCCAGCAATATCATGACAGATAGAGAGATAAGCCAGTTATAATTCATGCTCTTTATTCTCTGTCTCTGCCCGCAGCAATCTCTGGACAGTCGCCACCGTCTGCTGTGCAAACAGAGGGAAGACGCCAAAGATCTGAAGGATAACCTGGACCGGAGAGAGAACCTAGTCTCCACCTTCCTGTCGCGTCAGCTGTCCGCCGAGCAGCTGCAGGACTACCGACGCTTCGTCCAGACCAAGGCCTCGCTGCTAATCAGGCAGAAGGACCTGGAGGAGAAGCAGAGGCTGGGAGAGGAGCAGCTGGAGGTTCTTTCCAATAGCTTGAATCTGTGAAGGGAGGAGCGACAAAAGCACAGATTCCACTTGCATAGGAGGAGGATGACTTCCTCAAAGAGACAAGTAGCGAGTTTTGGCCGTAGTGGACACACAAGGCATGGATATCTCCGACACTTTGCACCCTGTTATGACTTTCTTTACTAGAGGGCTCTCCTCATGTGAGATGAGCAATAAAGACTGTTGAAACTGAAGCTCTTTGCCTTTCTGCCCAGAAAGCTCACCCAGTCTCCGCCCATTATCAGTCTGCACAATCTGCAAAGTGCACCTAAAGACTTCCCCCCACGTATCGCACATTTCCGTTGACTTTGAACAGAGGACTGAGCAGTTTGTCCGTGTGCCTTGACGTCGGTGTTGCTGTGGAACATTCTCCATTAGAGCTGCTGCGTGGAAACTTAGCATCCCCTGTTAGCAATTCAGCAACTGTCCTTCACTTTTTCAATACGACGGTAGCGCTACAGCCCTGTATCTGCACCTGTGGAAACCTATTATAAGCTTTAAGATTGTATTTCAGCCTGCGAGAAGGCTTCAGTAAAAAGAGCGTAGCCTGAGAGGGGGCGATGTACTGTATCATGTCAGTAAAATGTACAATAGATTTAGTAGATTTAATCTTTTTGTTTTTTTTTGTAAATGTTCTTGTTTTTAAACATGTTTCAAATTAAGGCACTAAAAACCAAAAAGGGTGAATGAAAAAAGCACTTTGTAATGATACATAAATGCACATTTCTTCAAATCTGATTCAAGCAATTTCAAGCGAAAGCCTTACTCCCTCCGTTTAAACAATGTCTCTCTTGTTTGTGTTTTCGTTAATTTTAAATAGGAATGTCGAAATAATCTTTTTAAAAAGGTACACGAGCACACCCAGCAACAATAAGGATTGTGTACCTTTCCAGCTAATTTCATACTTAATGTCATTAAGTCTTGATGATTTCATGCTGGAACGGTTTCTCATAAGGAGGTGCTAAACTTTAAAGCAGATTATAAGTAAGCAACAATTATATCACTGAGTATTTTCTCCCAATGTCCCTTTGTTGCAGAAGTGACACGTGATACTTGAAATACTTTTTTTTTTGTAAGAGGAAGGTCCACAATCTTCACTTCAGGTGTCTTAAACTAATTTTCTATTCTCTACCTCCGCAGCGTAGCCCCTTGTAGACATATGTAACCTTTATTTAAACTTACTCAGTAGTCTTAAGTTAAATTGCTGGTCTTTTTAGCCCTGAATGAAAACACACTCTTGAATCAAATGTCCTTCCCTTTAATTTTTAAAATGCATCTGTGTTCCTACATTAATATGTCATTAGTTTTATAGTAATATTAATTTCTTTTTACTGAATCTTCAACCAGATACATTGGAGAGTCGTTTAAGAGTGACGTGAGCTGTTGCTCTGCGTCAGAGTATATGTGTGTGTGTGTGTGTGTGTGTGTGCTTGAAATCATGAATTTCTTAATTTCATGTGCGTAGAGATTAGTTGTCGATCAGAATGACAGAACTCCTCTCAGTGTTTGCCGTTTAAGTTTTCAGCGAATCTCATATGAAGTCATGAAGTGATCAAAATGTTATCGTCCTTCAGGATATTAAACCTGTCGGCTGTACTGAAAAACAGTGATCCAGTGTATGGGTTGAATGTTGTGTGTATGATATTTGTGTAATAATAACCACAATGAGGAAGAGCATCATTAGCAGCTGTTACCCTTTAAAGAAAACATTTACAAACCAACTCAAATTGTCAAAAAATCAAGTGGAAACTCTTTTACGTTGAAAGATATTTCAGGTTTTCTTTGCTAAATAGTTGGTCCACCCCTGCCACCACCCCTAAAACATTTCTCTGGAGATTTACAACCCCGTCCGCTTCAGTTTGCTAAACAAATGTGTGTTTGTTTTGGCCTTTGTGCTGACGCAGGGCTGAAGGGTTAGAAATACTCTCATGTTGTTCCCCGCAGCCTGCTGGAATTCCTGAAGTATGCAACATTTTGAAGAAAGAAAAGACTTTGGGGGGAGAAAGTGAGGAAAACTACTCCCACAGAGGAGGAGCAGCAGCACATGGACTCATTTTTAGCTCCTGCTATGTGTGCGCACTAACAAACATTTGTCAGCTTCCTGAGTCATTTCTTGTTTCTGTCAAAGCAGTGTTTTGTCAAGGTCGCAAGAAAAACGGGCCTGTGTTTGAAGTAGGATTATATTTGTTTAGTTTGTTTCAAATGCGTGTGACATTGATACGAAGAGAATCTGTTATAACGCTGAGAAGGAAAGACATATTTCAGTGAGTCCCAGCTGGTGGGATGACAGCAGACATTTCTAAATCCACATCTTCTGCTCTTTTTCACACCTGTTTCCTGTTGAGAGTTTGAGTTGTTTTTTGTGCCTGTTTGGAGTTGTAAATTCCACAATGTTTGTAATATTGTGAATAAATTAAGCTCTCCCTCTCCTTTCTGTGCACTGTGTTTCTCCTTTTTCACTTACCAAAAATACGTTTGCAGACACATTAATCCAACCTGAACAGAAACAAACCATTGGTTCAGAAGCATCAGATCCAGTGGAAGACATGCTATACATAGACATACAAATATAGGATACATGAAATATTTATGCTAAAAGCAATTTATGTTTTGCATTATTCAGTCTGTGAGAAGAGGTTGCATCCTGCCATATTATTTCTAATTACCATGTTAAATATCACTTGATGTCATATTGTGACTCTCCTCCTTTAAATGCCTCAAGTTTCCTTAGTAGTTGAGGCCTTCCTGGATTGGTGCTCCCTCTCAGAGCTCGTCTCTGCCCTCTGCAGTACCATCAACACACTGCTGCTGTGAGTTCAATTATTTACTGTCACTGACCTGGGAGCAAAAACACTGGTGCAACCAGCTTCCTCGCTGTCTGCTTTGCTTTACATTTTCTGTTCAAACACTATAAAAGCTTCATCCTCCATATTGGGGAAAAACAAACTATTATAACCAGGGATTAAATCTGTGGTAAGTGGGAAATTTTGTCATATAATTGAATTCTGCACGGCACCAAGACAGTCTCTTATCCAGTAGTTAATCAAACAAGATGTTACATGTTAGTAAGTGAGCTTTAGAGGTGCTGGTAGGCAGATTTTGTTAGCTTCAGACCAGGGCTGGCACAATATTAGATTTTCAGAACATGATTATTGGTGCCAAAAGATATCAGGATAATGATATGATCGCAATCTATCAATAAAAAAAAATTACATTTTAACATGCTATCAGTCAAAGTCATCTTTAGTTTTGTTTATTGTGTGTTTCATCTCTTTTTTGGTGAATAAATTACTCAAAATATGAGTGTTGGCATAAAGCAAAGCTATAAGACATAAACAAGTCAAATAATTATACTGACAGCAAACTGCACTTAATGGCTGGGTTAGTATTAACTTATTTTTGTTATTTAATGCACAATGAACAATGTAAATACTGCTGAGGTAAGGTGTATGTAAATATTATATTACATTAAATTCTAGCAACCATAAAAGTCTTCATCTGGCTTTAAACGGCATCCTCGGCGACAGTTTTCTATAAAAGTTTATCTTATTCTGTGTTCTTATTTTGGGTATTTCAACTGTTTCTCTCCGGTGTCCGCTGCTTTTCTGCCACCAGTATGCGTGCGCAACTGCTGTGACTTAACTGTGACGTCCACACAAAATTGGTCTATGGAAAGAGACGTAATGATTTAAAAAGGCATTGGATTGTTTAATTGATAACATTTTATGTATATTATTAACATTATATCAGTATTTATTTTTTTTTAAATATCATGGTTATTGTCAATATTGTTATATTGCAACACACAGCTGTTTCCCTGTTTGGAGTCTTTATGTTAAGCTAAGCTAACTAGCTGCAGTAGTAGTACCAGGTAAAGACATTTAAAGGAACAGTTTGACTGTTTTGGAAATGTATGTATTCACTTCCTTGCCCTGAGTTAGATGAGAAGACCAGTGCCGCTCTTATGCATTAAATATGAGGCTGGTGTCAGGCGGCAGTTAGCTTGTTAGCTAATCAGCTTAGCTCAGTTTAGCTTAGCTTAGCTTAGTATAAAGACTGGCAACAGCTAGCTCAGCTCTGTCCAAAGCTAACACCATCTGCCAGCACATCTAGAGCTCTTAATAACATGTTATATCTTGTTTGTGTACTTTATTATAAAACCAACCTGCACATGTGATTTTATGTGCAGTAACGTTACTATTTTTGAAGACTGTTGTCGACAAGCAACTCCATGGTTAGCGACAGGACTCCAGGAAGTCACTGCTAGCCAAGACATAGTAAGACACATAACCTGTAACGTGTCATTTTTATGCTTTTTGTATAGATTAAACAAACAAAAATGTCTGTTAGTGAGCTTTAGAGTTTCCGGTTGGTGGCTTCTGTTAGCTTCGGACGGAGCAGGCTAGCTGTTTCTTCCTGCTTCCAGTCTTTTTGCTAAGCTAATGGGCTGCTGGCTAACAGAATTGACGTTGTATACTTGTCCCCCCTAGTCAAACCTTAATAAAACATCAAAAATAGTATATCAGAGATGAAAGACGCTTAATTGTCATTGAACTTTTAGCATAGAAGTTCAGAGACAATGCAACTTTCTGTAAAACATGTCAAATCTGGCATGTCCTATGATGAAATCAGGAGACAGATAAATTGATACATATTCATATAAAAATTTTTTACCAAAAATCACTGTTTAACAATAAAATGAGACTTAAAACAATATGTAAATATGAACATATTAACATTTTGCCTACATTTTACAAAATCCTGCTGAGTACAATGACCATAGCAGGGGACAGGCCAAAAACCTCACCCTAGTAATTTTAATTGTTTAAAATAATATTTAATTGACTTTAGTTTGATGTGAAATTGAAAACAGAAGACAAAGTAATGTTATATTATCAAATTACATAATTGTTTGTTGTTGTAATAATTTTATGACTGATTATTTCTTGGGGACGCAAAAGGCACTGATTCCATAGACCCAATGACCCATTTACCATACAGATATGAGAATGGGTTTCTCATTGAATGTCTCTGCAATAAAGCAAACTATGCAAACACTTCATTTGAGAAAAACATCACATGTAGGAGACTAAATGATGCATTAAGGGGGATATATCCTCAGCAGTCTGTCTTCCTCCTCTCTTGTCTCTTTCATGCCTCTCTGCCCTTGTTTGTTCACCAGACAGCACTTAGTGTACTTTAGAAAGTGAAAAACACTTTTAATCAGATTCCCAGTGAAGGCGGCGGGGACATAAACGGCAACTCAGGGAATTCTCAACAAGTAGGATCTTTGTCAGACACTAATTGCATGGTAATTAGGTTTAGCGTTGTTACAAAAGCAGTGTAAGTGATGGAGCATTTGGTGGTGTAGGCTGCAGACAGGCAGGAGGGAACAGGGTGGTGAGAACGCTGCGGCAGTAGTTTTGTCACACTGCTGCCGGGTAATGAGGAGCTTTGCTGCTGATAATCACTGTCTGTGTCTTCACTGTGAGGCAGGGGAACAGAAAATGCTGGATTAAACAAAGTGGTTTTTTGCGTCATGCCACCAAGTGACTGTTAAATTGACCGTGATTTTCAGGTAGTTTTGGAGATCATGATGACTCAGTGATTACGGCACCTGAACTCTGAACCCTCCGCCTGCAGGAATGTAAGCACACCTCCAGCCTCCTCCTCTCACCTCTGGCAGTCATTACACAGCTCAGTTATGAAGATTAACTAAGTTGTCTTCTTGAGCAAAAATACAGTGCTGGTTTTAAACCACCATGATTTACCACATCTTCATTACAGTAGATGTTGGTGTTGGAGCGTTGCACATACACACAAGGGATAATAATTCATACTCCTCATTATATTTCTCTACCATCTCCAGTTTAGTAATTAAAACTAAAATTTGTGTACATGTCATGTGGAGGGTCAATCTCAAAACAAGCATCACTACTTTTAAAACTTAAAGAGAAACTTTGATATTTTTCATCCTGGACATGTCATGTCATGTCTTTGTGCTTAAAGCCCCGTTTTCACCAAACACTTTTGGTATGGTATCTTTGGAACCAAAAGTAACCCTTCAGACATGGTACCTAGACCCTCAGGCTGTTTAGCGTTTTCATCACAAACAGTAGGCCTACTCTTGAATGTGGGTGGGGTTGTTGTCACCCACTGCTCTGTCCAGCACTCACTGTATTTCCTCATCACAGGTGACACAGAGGGAGGTCTGCACCTCGTTTATCATATAACAACAATCTAAGCCTGTCCTGGCAAAAACAAGCACTTTTAGCGGATGTAAATTGGCAGTGCACAAAACAGTGCGCAGCTAGTTTTGCCACTGTTGGACACATCACTCTCCTTTAACGCTGGACCAGTTTCAAAAATGTTTTTCCGCCATAAATCATGAAGATAAAAAAACATCTGGAAATCGGGCCCAGGCTAAAAACAAAAAAAGCATCTTTACTTTTGGCATTTTTCAACTTGGACGCTACTTTGTCATGTTTTTGTGTCTAAAGCCCTGTTTACACCAAACACTTTTGGTATGGTATCTTTGGAACCAAAATAACCCTTCAGACATGGTACCTAGACCCTAGGGCCGTTAAGCATTTCAATCACAAACAGTACTCGTATTTCCTCATTACCAGTGACACAGAGGGAGGTCTGCTCCTCATTTATTGACCACAGAACGGGGTTGACACATATGACAATAATCTGAGCCTGTCCTGGCTTTTTGTGGACATATATTGACAGTGCACAAATGCCCCAATTGGTTACATTGCAGCTTGTTTTGCCACTGTCAGCCACATCACTCTCCTTTAATACTGGACCAATTTCAAAAATGGTTTTCACCATTAATCATGTAGACACAAAAACATCTGAAAATAGGGTCCAAGTTGAAAATACTTAAGTTTCCCTTTAAGGTTAGCACTCGCACTTCCATATTCTCATTTTCACAAACACTTTCCTTTTATAGTGTCATGTCATATGACAGTATTTCTTCTTCCTGTACCTAAAGGATCTGAGTACTTTCTCTGCCACTCGGGGTCTTGTTCCTGACCTTGTGGTGGGGCCTTTCTGCTCACAGCAGCAGCAGCAGCTGCAGCGTAAAACATTTGCTTAATAAAACCCTGAGGCTCAGAGATGAAACATCGTCTTGACGTAAACACAATGTAAGCTGCCGGGGAAGTGACATCACGAAAGAAACAGAGGAAGACGACTTGAGGCGGGGAGAAGAGAACGAGGCTGACCACAGGACGTGTACCATTTCTTCTCACTGCTTCTCCCTATTACCCATCACTCTTGTATCCCCCAAACAAGATGCAGCCACACTAGCCATCTTGACACATTCAAAACGTTTCTTTTATTCTTCTCTTGTCAACCAGAACAAGGAATCATGACAGGCAGGAAACAAGGCAGCTTTAAAACACACTTTCAACCACCTACATGCAAACACACACACTCATTCCCAGTTTGCTGCTCATGAAGCTGAATCACAGCTGTCTCAGTGAGATGAAAGATGGCTCTGAGCCACGTCTCACAGAAGTTTTGGCACATACAGGGACTATAACGATTTATGGAACACCTGCACACCTCTTACTGAATGACACACCCTTTACCTAATCTTGTAAAAGATAATCCAGTGAATTCAAATGTTTGTTTTCTTTAAGGGTTTTTCAGTGGGATGTTTGCTGCTCCTTAATGCTTCGCTGCGTTTAATAATTAATCTGTGATAAAGTGAAGTGATGAAAAGGCAAGTGCTCTAAATCCTCCTCAGAGGCACAAACATTTCTCCAATTTTTATTTATTAATTTGTTGTGTTGCTTCCAGAGGTTTGATTCACCCATAAGTAAGCACACCCTCGTTTTTTTGTCTGGGCGTGTTTGCCTCTGGAAATCAAGAGTATGACCACTTTGTTACTCAGGTTTATCTCAGTTAGTCAGAGGTGAAAACACACAAGTCCAGTCTTGATATTTCTGCTACTTCAGAGACTTTTTTCTATCATAGACTGATTTCCTGTTGGTGTTGATTCACTTTGATCAGAAATAGATTCAAAGAAGACATTTTTTAGAGAACAGATATTTAAAAATCAAGTTATGGATGTGTGCGTCTTGATTTTGAGAATTGGGAATTCATTATTAAACATAAAGTAAACATAATGTCTGTTATATTTTTAAGCTGTGTGAGTGTGAGTCTTCTTATTGTGAAGATGTTGCCCTCAAGAGACCGTAGACAGTGAGCAATGAGACGACTCACTGGACTCACTGGACTCACTGGAGCATTTTCTGAATCATGTTATGTTTACACACCTGCCTTAAGATACAACTCAGACAGATAACATCTCAAACTAACACTCTATGTCTCTAACTTGGAATCAGTCAACCATGCTGATTAAAATATCCTTGTTTTGGTCATCAAATATCAAGAAAATATAAATGTGAAACAAGAGAGAAGTAATTGATTTTCTTTTAAGTGTTTTTGTCTTTGTTTAAGAGGGTCTGAAAATCAGAGGACTGTCAGTCACATTTATAGCGGTTGGCACACTATAAGACAAGAAAGAGTTACGAGTTCACATAAAAACATCTGATAAAACTCTGTGTCTGCTGCTGTCTTCTCGCTCCTCAATGGGGCCATCGCTCAAGGAGTAAAATGCCGGCCTCTGCTTGTGCTTCTTCTTATGGCCCGTCACATGGGGCTGGAAGAGACGACTTATAGAATACAGGCCCTTGGAGAGATCCGGGACCAGGTCCATCTCATCTTTCTCCTGCAGGGCCCTGTCCTGGGCCTCCTTGGCTTTAGGTTCACCCAGCATCTCTCGCACAGTCGCAGAAGTGCCTTTGTGCAGATAGTGGTAGGCCCTCTTCCCACAGTTGTCCCTGATGCTTATATCGGCCCCGTGCTCCCCCACCAGCATGGCCATGATGTACTCCTGGTCGTGCAGGGCGGCAATGTGCAAAGGAGTGTATCCGCCGTGTGTTTTTGCATTAATGTCAATGTCAACCCCGGCCTGCTTGGATAGGTCGATAATCTTCACAAGCATTTCGCTGTTCCCACATTTGGCTGCCCAGTGCAGAGCGGTGAACCCTGACATGAAGTCCCTCTTCTCGGCCAGCTGGTTGTCTCTCAGCAGCAGGCCGTAAACTTGGCTCCAGTGGCCGGCTGCGCACTTCACCAGCCATTCATGCTCTGACTGCTCCAGGGGAACCAAGGAGGGGACTCCTGTTTCTTTGGGCCCCTCTGACGCCTTGGTGCTCTTCACTGACCTTCTCAGCTGGGGTGAGCTGATGCAGCCGCCTGTCTCCACTGCAGGGGGCCTTCTTTTGTTTCTAAAAGAGTCCAGTTTTGGGCTTTCAGGAGGGTCCACCTTCAGTTTGTGGATCTCGACCTTTGTGGCAGTGGGAGGCATCCTCAGAGGCAAGGCAAAGGGTTTGTTCTGGATGCTGGTGGGCTTATTTACAGCCCAGCTTTGTATGCAAGTATCTTCATTTGTGCCCTGATTTTTAATCTCAAAATTCAGTGTTCTTTTAACTCTAACATCCATGGATCTGCACCTTTGCAACGCCTGCTGAATGGGAGACATTTCATCAGTGGGATTTTCACCACATTCACTTGCCTGTTCTGGATCAGGTTCAGGAGCAGCTGATCTTTCCCCTCGTGCATTATCAGTCTCCTCAGTCTGCGCAGGTGGGCGCTGCTGCTCACCTGTCTGCGGGATCTCTTTATTTTCAGTGTTTTCCACACGGCTCTGCTCAGTCTGGGCACCCTCCAGTAAATGCTGATACATTTTCCTGACGACAACATACCGGACACCGTCGATTTCCTTGACGACGGCGAGACTGTTGACAAAAGTCTTGAACAGTTCCCTGTTCCGTTGTTTCTCTGCGGGATCGTCGCAGTCTATTAAACCTTTGAACTTCGCCACTAAGTCGGATTTCTTCACTTTGCCTCCCTCCGCTATCAGCGCACACAGGACGGATTCTTGCGTCAAAGCCATTATTAAAACTATAGTCTATTAAAGCATCTACCTCCGAGAGCCGCGCTGTATGTTGGTGCTGTTCCACCTTTGTTCTGCTGACAGTACAGTAAGCCTCACCTGGCTGCTCACTCCTCTCCTCTCCACCTGGAGGAGTCTTTTTCCGGGGAGAGCCGCAGACGTGGACACTATTTGAATAATATATGCATCCCTGCAGGCAAAGTGGCTGCCAGTTCAAAAACACGTTTCAACTTAAGAGTAATGATGAATCAAGTTGATGTTTTCTGTCACGATAAAAGTAAAGGCGTTGGTTGCCTATATTTGACAGTTTTTTGTAAAATAAATAAATAAATAAATAAATAAATAATAATAATAATAATAATAATAATAACCCCAACTTCTTCCACCACTAATAATAATAATACTAATGATAAAAGAAATACACAACAATAGTAGGCTTATTTGTCCTGTCCTGTTACACACACACACACACACACACACACACACAACTAACAAAGGCATAATTTGTATTAAAATGTATGTAACTCAGATTAGATCATGGTCACAGTTTACACCATCTGAGCAGGACTTTTTTAGAAATTCAATAACCATATTTAAGTAATATCAAACACACTTGTTAAAGGTCCAATGTCTAGGATTTAGTGACATCTAGTGGTGAGTTTGCGGAACTGAAACTTCTCCCATGTGCCAACCCAAAGAAGTTAAAGTTGTTTGGCCAGGTGTGTAGGAGCACTATGGTGGCTAACCTGAAAACACAAATGAGCCAGTGTTTGATTTGTCCATTCTGGGCTACTGTAGAGGGATTACATATCTCATTTGACCTGGGAATGCCTTGGGGTCCCCAAAGAGGAGCTGCAAAGTGGAGAGGGACGTCCAGGGTGCTTTGCTTGGCCTGCTGCCCCGGTGGCCCAGCCTCAGATAAGCGGATGAAAATGAATGGATGGATACTGGCTGAAAATGTTCATAATATTCACAGTGTATAATCACCTAAAAATAAGAATGAGCTATTTATATCTGCATAGAGAGCAGGTCCTCTTTCATGGTTTCCACTATGTCAGCTCTACAAAAGTGTAGCCTATTAAAACTTCTACCTCCAAGAGCTGACATAGTGGCAAACAAAGTGGCATGTCCCTTTCCCCAGCGACGCTTTCCAGTTCCTTCTGGGGGACCCCAAGGCATTCCCAGGCCAGATAAGATATGTAATCCCTCAAGCATGTTTTTGGGTCTACCCCGGGGCCTCCTTCCAGTGGGACGGTAGATAGTGGCCAATAGATGCCACTAAATCCTACACACTGGACCCTCTATGCCAATTATCACCAGGTTTTCTTATGTCTAAAATACTGCTATCACCCTTAAAATCCAGTATTGGTCAGGCTCTAAAAACACCAATACATTCTAGCCTATGAATAAATGTTTAATGTAAATCTGATGCCTGCATAAAGCTGAGAAAAGTACCCTACATGTCACACAATACACACAAATTTTGAGACACTGGTTTTATTATTTGAGTTAATTAGACACAATATGGAAACAATTTAAGATGCCTTGCTCTGATTGGCTGAATCGCACTCCCAGTAAACTCAATCAGTGACCTCATTAATTCATTTAAATATTAATACCCAATCTTGAAAATGGCACACACCCACACACACAGTTGGCTACACTGAGGTGATGATTATGTGTTTTATTATCTCCACCGCTGGCACAAATATTTGTGCTCTCTCCCTCTTGTCGCTCCGCGCTGCTGCTCGCTCCTGTCCTGGCTTGTAGTGCGTGCAGCATGACATTCCTGGACTGAATGGGAGTTCCCGAGAAGTGGCCATATTGGAACGTATCTGTCCCGCCCAAAGATGTAACCTTAACGTCAAGATAGTTCACATCCTACTTTAACGTACGTGTAAACGTTGACTCTTGCAAGGGCATGGAAACGCCTCAAGGCTGCTTTAACTGCTCCATATTAATGACACATCTATATTTTGCGGCATTAACTCTTGGTAATTAGCAAAAATTGGAAGCTATTGTTTTAAACGCCAGTATACGTTAAATTATATATCCGCATTACTACGCATGCGCGGAAAAGGAGTGTCAAACGAACTGTTGTTAGGTCCGTTTCCCGGTTTCTTTTCCTACTATCCCGTGCTACACAGTTAATATAAGTCAAAAAAGCTAATGTACAATTCTTTCGACTCTAAGCAAAGGTCGAAACGAAGAAAAGAAACGGTTTTGCCAGACTGAGCGAAACAGACGTGAGGTAGGAGGTAGTCATCTTGTCGCCTCGCTGGCAGCCTCCCTGCCCAGTTACCAGCTCTTCTCCGTCTTGTGTCCCTCTCTTCCTATCTCTGTCAGCTCGGCTCAGTAGTTTAGCAGCAGGCTAGTACGGAGAGACGAGGGCTGCTCCCTTTCGCCTCTGCTCAGTCTGCCCAGCACACCAACACCATACATTCCGCACCATGGCTGCCACGGACGTTGACGTATTTTCGGTGAGTAAAAGCCACGGGGTCTCTTGTTTTCTTGTTCCTTTCTCTCCACCGAAACATATTGCAAGTGCAGCCACTTGGTTGTGATTAGTAAAAGTGTGTTAGCCGCTGTGAAGCTAAGCCTCCCCCGCTTTTGAAGCCTGCAATGTGGGCTCAGCCGAGATGGTGCAAGTGATTTCTGTGATGGTGACTGAGGGGTTTCTTTCAGTTAAGACTAATTAGGATGACGCTGCCATTGTTGACTGTTTTAATGTCGTTTCTTGTAACGTTTATTGTCGTAATTTTGTGTCTACCCATGTAACGTGTACGCTGCTGCTGCTGATGTGCACAAATGGGTGTAGCAACGTTTAACTGTTTACAGTTGAGGTGATTGGAAGTGGCTGTAACACAAAACATTTAACGTTAGGAAGACTATTTAAATCCTATCACTGCTTTTGAATACAACCACATTGGCTAGCTAGCACATATAAATACTCTCAAGTATGGCACAGTTGTTTTGCGCTTCTATACCACTACAGACATGCTTGAAGGTGTATTGCAGCTCTGTTGTGCAAAAAGAATGTGGCATTGACTTACTACATGTAAAAAGCAGTAGCCACACTGATGTGCCTCAGTCCTAACAATGTGTTGACATGTGGTTTCATTTTAACTTCCTCCTCAGGGGTGCAAAATTAAACTTGTGGCTCACTTTCTTGACATACAATGTGATACTTACACCAAAGGCCATGCCAGTTTCACCACACAGATACTAAAGAAGCTCTGGCTACATTGCTGATAGCCTGCATTTCTCTTTGCAGTATAAGGTTAGGCATACCATCAGCATTGTTTTCATAGTGACAAGCCCTGTTGTCAGTCAGGTGGAACCCTGTAGGTACAGTATGGTGATGCAACGCAGGCTGAAGAAGATAGCAGTGCGCTCTCAAGCATGTCAAGAATTCACGCAGTCCCACAACAAAGCATTTGGGAAACCAGTATTACAGTGACGAGGCAAATGCACAGGAGGGGATTTAAGGAGGGTGATTAACTTTTTGGCAGATGCTTGAAGAGATCCTTTCGGTGTTGAATTAGACAGTAAGCAGCATTGAGTTTCAGGGATAAAGAGATTAAGAACACACTCCCGGGGCCACTCCTACCGCTTCTTGGTGCAACACATGTCTGCAAAGGAAGGAAAGGATCCAAAAAGAAGGTGCATAGGATACTGCACACTTGGCATTCCTTAAATTAGGATAGTGTCCAAGAGGGGGGTGCAGGTTGCAGAAGATACTGCAGAATTGCGATCTGTAAAATGTCTCTTTTGGAATACAAATTTCAAGAATTGATTAATGAGAGAAATGCTGATTTTTTCAGTGAAACAAGCCGGTGGAACAACAGTGTGTTAGCAGCAGCACAGTTGCCTGACTGTCTGTTTGACTTCCTGTCTAACTTTCTGAACTAAGTGAGACCATATTGAACAAACTGACACGCTTGCCGGGCAGTTTGTGTAAAGGGCACGCTGTTAATTATGTGCAGTTATTGATAGGGATGTGAGGTTGGTTGCATTGTTTGCCCACGTCAATTCCATCCAGTGGACATCGTAGCTTTGGGATAACTTTCTAGGCCAGAGAGCCACATGAGGCGATCGATGGAGCCAACTACCCATCTATTGTTTTCACTCATTGATTGCATGAGAGTGTGTAGCATATAGAAAAGGATGCTGTTCACTTAAATGGTTATGTAATGAAATGCCCTACAACATATTAAGTGTGTACAGTGGTTGCTTACTGACCCTGAAGAGTATTGTCTCTCCCATGAGGCTTGCATGCATAAAATGAAATTAGCTTCATAAAGTGCTTAAAGGCAAGAGACAAGGAATGAGTAATTATGGGGCAAGTCGCTTGCACTTTAAAACTGCAGCTTCACTTGTTTGCTCAGAGAGCAATGTTAACTTCTGAATACTTTGCTTTATTCAATGCAAATTTGTTCATTTTAAACTCATTCCTGTGCTTAAAACACACTTCCTTCAAATCTCAGCAAGCGCCTTTTCCATGTTGTTCGGTTGCTCACGACAGACTGCAGGTCAAGTAAACTGTCTGTTGTGTGTCAGCAGTGATGTAGGCTGTATATAGAACGTACAGGCCAGAACTGCCTTGAGGCGAGCCTGTCAAATCCGATGTTTTAGATGAATCATGACAGCCGAGCTGCGGCCTCTGTAGTGACGATGATGAGTCAATATCCATCTATAGAATAGGTCAGTATTTGTCAAAGATCTGTTGGAGCCCAAATTGTGATGCTCTAACACTGAAATGACTTTCAAGATAGTGTTGGCAAAATCTAAATGAAAATTTTAAGGCTGTAATGTTTGTTTTGATTTGGATTTACCACTAGTATTATTTCTGTTTGAACAAAGGAAGCAAAGTTCACGATAATATGTCGTCCACATTGAACAGCTGTTGTAGGGATGGCCTGGAAGATGGAGGATGTTCCATAACCTCGTAAGTTTAGTAATTGCAGCACCCGGTGAATCCATCAGCAGTCATGTTTCTTGTTGAAAGGCTCTGTAGTGTAAAGTGCCCTAATTGTGATGTTTATGTGCTTCACATGGGATATGGATGTGTTTTTTATCAGTGTGAACCATAAAAAGCTGCATGGAGTCCCATTTTTACCAGCTG